GTACGGCTCGAACCCTAATTAAAACTCACCCGCCTATAGCTTTCTAGTAACCCTTCAGACCTTGATTAGCTTGTTCAGGTGTGTTTGATTAGGGTTGAAGCAAAACTCTGCAGGGCTGCAGCTCTCCAGGACCAACGTTCGCCACCCCTGATATAGATGGATGTGATGCAGTCATTGGGGGGATTAAACAAATAATAACAGCATCTCAGACAATTAAGCAACGCATGAGATAATCTCTATGGCCACAGGCAGGAAGTTCAGTTGCTAAATACCGTGCAACAGTAGAAATTAGTCAACTGGTAGAGATTCCACTATACTGCAGTTATTTTCATTTTACGGTCTTAAATGTCTAAATGTTTAAAGAGGGAATTTATTAAAATGTATATAATAATTTAAACTACAATAAAATAAAATATAAAATCAAAACAGGAAAAAAAAAAAAAAGAGCTATTTTCCGCTATTTAAATGTCTTAGGGTTAACTTATTTTTAAAGAGGAAAAAGGCTCACAAAATTATTTTATAGTTAATTATAATAATATAAATAATAATTAAAGTGCAAACCAATTGATATTCTGCTATAGTGTTTTTACTGCAGTTATTTTAAATGCCTTAAAGGGGTCCTATTATGCTTTTTCATTTTTTCAACTTTAGTTTAGTCTGTAATGTTGCCGTTTGAGCATAAAAAAAAGATCTGCAAAGTTACAAAGCTCAAAGTCAATACGGGGACAATAATTTAAAATAATAATAATTAAAAAATGTATTTTAAAATAACATTATGATGTTGTGTAATCTATAATACTGTATAGACACAGCCAGTTTTACTCATTTGAAAAATTTATTTGTGATAAAATAATTACTTTATAATTGTATTAGAGTCTTACATGCTGTACAGTTAATCTGATGAGACACGCTAGCTTTCCCAAGGCAGACAAACTTAGTGGTTACAATCATCCAGGTTTAAATCGCACACAAATTGATTTGATTTTGACGCAATATTTACACTGAAGCTCTATGGTAACAGGACCCCTTTAAAATGTATAAATGTATAAAATGAGGGGACAAAAGCTAGCAAATGCTAAAGTAAAGAAATACTAGGGATGTAACGACTCAGCTCGATTCAGTATACTGATTTCACGATTCGATTTTCTCAATTTTTTTTTAAACAAAATTAGATTTAAGACAAATTATAAATGAAAAGGTGTCCTTTTATTATTGCTTGGACAAAATGCTGCACATTTCTTTGTGAAACAGAAATGTGTCAAATAACAAAACTAAATTGAAATTTTAAAACAAACCCCAAATCTAATCAAATAAATAAGCCAAAAAAAATCCTCTTCATATAAACAAAAGGCTTTGCCTGTGCTCTTTTCATTCAAAATTAGAGGCAACCACTGCATTTGAATCACAATCCAAGCAAAGATGCTGAATACATGCAGCATAAGCAGTTTTTTAAATCTAAATAAGATTGCATAATTTGACATTTTAAAACAAAAACAGAATGCTCTGACTTTGTTTCGTGCAGATGTTTTATGTAGTATAGTTTCACAAAACTAAAGACAGCAAAAGCTCTGAATGAGACACAGATTCACTCTCTGACAGCAGGTGGTGCTTATGGAACAGCAGCGATGCAGCGTTTCCTTGGTTACCACTGTAAACAAAGCAGTGCTTATAATAAACAGTATTTTAATATGCATTACACAGTCAAGATGAAAAGAAAATATAATCTAAACTATTCTATAGACAGTCAGTTCCCCTACATAAAGATACATTCATATAAACTCCACCCGCAAATGTATCGCGATTCGTTTAACATCTCAATCGATTTGAATCGTCACATATTTGTATCGATTTTCAACCAGCTCGTGGTGAATCGTTGCATCCCTAAGAATTACAGTAGAATAAAATTACATAAATTAATAATTGTTTAAATTCATTTACATATTTTTTTCCAGAGAATGTGAAAAATAAAGCGCCAAGCTGTCTGGCAATATTTTGGATTTTGAAAAGCCTGTTGCAGGGCTTAAAGTTCTCCGGCACCGTGCAGGATCTCTGGTATGCGGCGGGGAAAAAAAAAAAAAAAAGATAGTCGTCCTACATTTAAAAACTCCTACATTTAAAAACACTTGATATCACGTTCGAGATCATGAGTTCGCCTACCAAGGTATGAGAGGAACACAGCTTTCACTCTCAACCAAACTAACATTACTAGCCAATCAGAAGTTTTTGCTCTTATAAACACGAGACACGCATAATAGTATCTAATTGCAGAGGATGCTGAGAAAAGCTCAGAGCTGATGAATGGAAAAGCAGCATGGGTCTCAAGCGCGACACATTGAAAAAGCTGCGAGGCGCAATGGTCAAAGATTTCCATCTAGCGTCATTTACATAGAAAAGCTATTAAAAAAGCAGCGGAGCTTTGTAAACAGCTCAGAGTAATAACGTCATCTCCATAAGAATGATATGATTGCCAGAATGCATTTACCTGTATTTGCATATGCAGAGGAAGAGTTTGGGTTGCTTAACATTCATCTGGGAAAACTCACTTGATTTGTATCGTAAATAATTTAACCTGTTAACCTGCACCCCCCATTTTGGGACTAACAGCTAAAAATGACCTACCTAACGTAAAATGGTAACAGTTCCTGACAACAGTGAGCTACACAGACAATTTTGGTGTCTTTGGAAAGAAGACCCTTTGGGCTTTACTATCCATCATCCAGAGTTGATAATGCACAAAAAAATAAAAAGTTATAGACACTGAAGTGCCTTGAAAAAAAATTATACCACACTGAATGTTTTTTTTTTAATTCCATATAGAAATGCATGAAATCAGTCCTGGAGCAATCCAGAAAAGTAATGGGTTGAAAGTCACATGTCTCATGGATAGCTGTCATACAGTCAGTAATCACACGCTGATGTGCGGTCATACAGATGGTAATCATACAGATTGCCGGCTATATAGTTAATAATCACACTCTAATAGCCATTTGTATAGACACATTCACACTGATAGCTGTCATACGGTCAGTAATCACACGCTGATGTGCGGTCATACAGATGGTAATCATACAGATACAGCCACATTCCCCACAATACACGCACACATACACATGAAAAATGTTGAATAAAAAAAAAAAATTTTTTGTGCAAAAAGCCAATCGCTAAGTTACGCCCCCAACAGATTACAGGTGCGTCACAGCGTGCGTCACGAGCCATTACGAGAGAGCGCCAGAATTCAAATAAACGATATTCCGCGTATCTTTGACTTTTTTTTTAGTGGATGGTCTCATTCTGTTTGTGTTGCTTCGTTGGACTAAAAGTGCTCTATGGGATTGTTGTTCAGTGGACCCTTACCTTTCTAACTACACCGGGATTTACAGCTGTGGATGCGTTTATGACTCGTTATTACGACAAATCTGGTACGTACTGCGTTTTGATTATGCATGTTTTCATGTGTACTGCTTACACAAATTTAGCAAATACATTCCTTATAAGCTTTCCATTGAAAAACAGCGATATATGTCGATGCTTGAGGCTTAGACCTTTATGATATATAGTTTGTCAAGATTAATTTTGTCCCTTTTCATTTAATCTATTCGTAAACATTGACACGTGTAAACAAAGAGCATTCAGTGCTCCGGCATCCAGGTGCGGGTTAACAGGTTAAACCTATGCCAACACAGGAGAATACATCAACATATTTCTAAATATGCGACTTATTGTATATCTCGATTTCAAAATAAAAGTTTCTGACTTTGTATGTGGCCAAATATTAAAATTAAATGGATTTAAACATCGTTGAAATACATGAAACATCCACATCGAAGTTAGAAATTAAAATATTGTGACAAAATTAATTTTGTAGGGTGCCACAAGTTTGTTAAAATTTCCAAAGGGTGCCGCGACTAAAAAAAAGGTTGGGAAACACAGAGTTAAAACATTTTTAAAAAATACATACTTTTTGTGATTTAAGAAATTTTCAAATGACAAAATATTTATAAAGTATTAAAACATTGTCTCGTTCTAGTGAACCAAGTATCTGTATTTTGTCTCACCTTGTGAGCTAAGTGTCTATGAGCGTGATAAAGCTCATAATTTTCCAAGTGTATGATATAGCTTTCATTCTTCAGGTCAATCATATATTCATAAAAAAATCAGTTTGAATAAGTAAAGCGATAACTGTGCCATAGTATCTTATCAAATGTTAAAGTTGCCACAGTCTAGGGTTGGGCAATGTCTACAAAATTGGCATCGGAGATGTCTACAGTGAAACATCGCGATGGACGATGACATCGGCATAGGCGAGCGGGGGGAGGGGTGTGGGGGAAGAGTTAGGGGGTGTGCCCAAAGCGTGAATCCTAATAAGGGAAAACATGATTCCTAACACCGCGTCTACACCGGACGCGAGTGGCGCAAACCGACAAAATACTATAGAACCACTGATCTATAATAAAGATTATACATAGATCAGTCTATAGAACTCATTATAATCAGTGATGCCGTCTACACTGGATGCGAAGCGACACAAATCCCCGACAGTAAACTGCTGCCGCGTTCTATTTATGACGTGCTGACACAAATTTCAAATGATTTCCAACGGTCGCTTTATCGCGTCCAGTGTAGACAGACTTTAGCTGATGCGGCGCGACAACAACTGTCGCGTCCGGTGTAGACACGGTGTAACGGTTGCCTGTTACATCCTACAGTACATAAAATTTCACTTACCACATAAACCGAATAAGGAGAGATAACGGAGGACGATGGCGAATGATTTGCAGATCCTCAGTACCACTGACAAACATATAATCTTGTAAAATGTGTGGCAATCACACTCCATAGTATAAACAGAGTACGTGCGATCGCAAATCTCGAAAGTGAAAGTAAAACAAAGCGATCGTGCATTCAAAAGCACAATGCCAGTTTTAATGCCAGGTATAATAGCGGCTCCCTGATGTCGAAATATATATGTAGTATAATTACCCAATTATATAACTGCGAGGAAAAATATTGAAATATATATTTTCCTCCCATCTCGTATTTATTCCCTTTAGGGGTTCCGCCTACACGTCATTTTCTTTCCGAACATGGTATTGGGATGCGGATAACGATGCCGGCTCAACATTGTGATGTCTATTCAACAATCTTTGCATGTGCTGAACTTTATTTGTACCATTTTGTTTTATTAGTTTATTTATAAGAATTTGAAAGCTAATAACAATATTGATTGAGAAGTGAGATCTGATTTTAGTCCTTGCAAACCAAAAAAGTAGTTCAAGTCCTTGAACGTCCTTGAATTTTATTTTGCAGTATCTGTACTAACCCTGTTTAAGTTACCAGTTCTTGGACCATTTTAATGTTTTTGTTGCTGTTATTTGAACTGAACTGTAGTTTTCTGTAGTAAACTTTCTGTTGTAGTTTTCTCTGTAGTAAAAGTCTTTGTATATTTCCTATTTTATATTCATTTTTATTAGGGATGCACCGATACCACTTTTTCCAGTACTCGCCCGATACCGATACTTTTATTTTTGGTAGCCCAAATTTGTATCAGTTTTACTGGTAGTCCACAGTGTGAAGAATTTTTGGGTATAATTTGTCAGTTTACTTTATTTTGCTA